CGGAGCTGCCTGATCACTGTTAGAGGCAGCACTTCAGGGAGAGACAGCATGCTTCAGTGAGAAGGATTTTCCTCCTCTGGCCAAAAGCAGGGATGTATTTACCACAAGGCAAACAAGGCATTTAACAAAGAAAATAAGTAGTGTGTAGGCGCTTCACAAGATGGAAAAGTTATGAACTTGTGTGTAAATACAGTACGGTGGTTGATATAGCAGTGTTTCCCAAACACTAAAGGTGAAACTTTTTTTCTTTTTTGAAAACAGCCATAAAATATAACACAGATGGATCGCGCCTATGTTTATCGGCAAAATGTGCCGAAACACTATGTTTCATATACCCCCTCTGGATATTACCCACGTGTTCCGCAACCCTGGTCTTTAAAGCTCTGGTGGTCATTCCAATAACACGTTTGCTGCTATTACTTGCTTGTTATTTTATTGTATTTTTATATTACTCTCTCGGTTACTTTGTTTAGGGTAAGTGGAAATCCCTTTTTTCTATGTTTTGCTATAGGGTTCCACCCCCTTAGTACCTTGAGTTTGTGGATTATTTTATCCTCAATAAAACCCTTTTTTACACATTGCGAAAGCTTCTCCATCTACTCTCTGGGAATTCGCTAGGCTGTATTGGCACCTTTGAGCCTGCTATACAGAGCCTGGTGTGGTAGTTGTATTGTTTTATATTTATTTTTCTGTGTTACAGTTTACACTATGTTGTGTTATGTATTTATTTCTTAGATTGTATCTTGCTACCCCGCTATTTTCAGGTTATATTCGTATTTTATTTTATTGTATTATTTTTTTACTACCACTTCACTTTTGGGGTTTTCTCCTAAAATGTGGTTTTGATATATACTTTCTATTTATTTTTAAACAAGGCATTTGCCTAGGGCGGCACATTCGGGGAGGGGGGGGTGCCAAAAAATGCCCAAGCTCCCAGACAAATGCCTTGCTTGCCTCGTGTTCTGGGGTTGTCCACCTTACTGTGAGTGAGTGAGTGTATCTGTCAGTGTGTGTCTGTGAGTGAGTGAAAGTGTGTGTGTCTTTCCGTGAGAATGGGTGTGTCTGTGAGTGTGTGTCAGTGTGTGTATGTCATTGAAAGTGTGTTTTGGTTAAACAGTGTGTACTTATGAATATATGTGTGTGCCATAGGTCCTCCATATTATTGCAACATCCAAAAGACATCTGTCAGTGAGTGTATATCAGTGAATGTATCAATGAGGGCATGTGTCTGTCAGTTACAAAGTGGCCTTGACACGAATTGAGGGGTCAAATTTAGATTTTGGGGGTGCCCGAATTTAGTCGTGCCTAGGGCAGCACAAATCCAAAATACACCACTGGCCAAAGGTAAGGCTCAGGGAGGGGGGGAATATTTTGTTTAATTATAAATGTATATAATGGCCCCCCCACAATAGCCCCTCTATCCACTGCAGCCCTTCTACCCCTCTACACCCTGCAGCTTCTCCACCCAGTATAGCCCCTCTACCCACTACAGTCCCTACACCCACCACAGCCCTTACCCCTACAGCCCCTCTACCTTCAACCCACTACAACCCCTACACCCCCCTACGCCCACCAAAGCCCCTACCCCAGTTCATGTACAGTCCTGTCCTGCCCTGTTCATGTTTCCCTCATGTCTTGTGTACATGTTCTGGGTTCTGTTTTCTGTCCTGCACCGGTTCTGTGTTCTTCTAGTTTTGCCTTGTTTTCCTGTTTGGTGTCTATTCTAGTGTTGCCTTGTTTTTGTACTGGATACATATCTGCTCCCTATTCAGTTCCAGGGAAGTCTGCTTATCTAGATCCTCTGTGACATATTCTCCTGTTCTGCTGAGATGTCTGGCCTTGGCTTCTGGTATCCAGTACTCTTTTTACAATTCTTGTTTAGTTTTTCTTGGTTTTTCTGGTTTTCTATTCCATGTCTGTTTTTTTTTTATTTTGTTCTGTTCCTGGAATTCCCAGTCTTTTGGATTCCTTTAAATGTTTGTTTTATGTTGCCACACCCGTTCCTTTTCCATGAATCCTTTTGTTTCAATTGGTTCCTGCAGGAAGTTGCTACAGGTCCTCTGCCCTTTTCTTGCAGGTGAGTGCTTTGTATGTTTTATTATTGTTTATTTAGTCATGCATATCTAGGTAGATAGGACCCACCTTAATTGGAGTACTTTGACACAGTGGTGGGCTGCATACATCTTGGCCATTTATGTATGTCTAAATCTCCAATGTTTATTGCAGATATTAGTACTTAGTTATGTCTCCTATTGTTTTACCTTGCATATCTTGTCTTGTTTTATTTTGTTTTTCCAGTTCATGTACAGTCCTGTCCTGCCCTGTTCATGTTTCCCTCATGTCTTGTGTACATGTTCTGGGTTCTGCTTTCTGTCCTGCTCCAGTTCTGGGTTCTTCTAGTTTTGCCTTGTTTTCCTGTTTGGTGTCTATTCTAGTCTTGCCGTGTTTTTGTACTGGATACATATCTGCTCCCTATCCAGTTCCTGGGAAGTCTGCTTATCTAGATCCTAGCTCTTGCGATCCACAGTAGTTGCATCAGGGCCTTGGTATGTGACCGCACAAACGCTGGTGCTCAACACCAGGGGGGTGTGGTTACCCTGCACCAGGCCCTGATGGTCCATTACCACTCTGAGACTCCTCACATCATCAGGCACTCAGGAGTCCCGGTCTTTGGACCGCCACCTGTGACAGATGGCTGTAGGCACTTGGAGTTCGTGGAGTGGACTTTGCAGCTTTCCTGACCTGCTCTGTCTGTGTCGTGTCCTGCCTGGTCGGCATGCAATAGATCCTGTATCTGGACCAGTCTGCTGGAGATGGCTTCCTTATTTTTGTCTTGGAGGAGGTCGATCTGCTAAGCGGTACGGTGGTCGCTTCAGGTGTTATCCTGTGATCCTTGTTATGGTTCCTGTTTCGTGGCAGTGCCCCTATTCTGGAGTGGATCTCGCTCCTGGCTGGTGGTTCCTTTGCAGGAGACCGTTCTAAAGGAATTAAAGTGGTTCGGAATGGCATTGTGAGCCGCAAACTACTTTCCTGCTGTGTTGGGGAATCCTTGCCTCCGGTAAGTCTTGAGGACTTAGTTGCTGGATCCTCACTTCTTTCCTGGTCTCTGCCTGAGGTCACTCCTTAAGATGGGAGTTATGTCACATCCTCTCCTGTTCTGCAGAGATGTCTGGCCTTGGCTTCTGGTATCCAGTAATCTTTTTACAATTCTTGTTTAGCTTTTCTTGGTTTTTCTGGTTTTCTATTCCATGTCTGGTTTTCTGGGTTCATTCCTGCATTCCGTTCCTGGAATTCCCAGTCTCTTGGATTCCTTTAAATGTTTGTTTTATGTTGCCACACCTGTTCCTTTTCTATGAATCATTTTGTTTCAGTTGGTGACTGTTTTAAAGGAACGCTATTACACAATTACACTTATAGTCCTAATAAATAGTCTTGGTGAAATTACCACTTGGTTGATAATCCAACAACGGACTTGAAAAATATCAGAGCACTTGCAATTACGATGTCCTGTTAGAAATAGTAGGTCCTCCATATTATTGCAAAAGACACATCAATAAAACTAAAATGCACAATGTTTATTCCACCACTTAGGGGCTACATTAAATGTAGTAATGCATAAAATCTCATTTATTTAGGTGCCATTTATGATACACTTGTATGCTGTATACATTGAAATGTGCAATATATATAATAGATATCACAATGTCTTATTAAACCCTTCACTACTAAATGGTTTGCAGATAAACCACCCCAGAATCCGTGTATTTTGGTTGTCTTGAAAGGTAATGTTTAAATGTATTTTCCGTTTCAGTATATCTAGGTGAGGTTACAGATCGGAAAACAAACAAAATTTTCAATATGTAACAGAATGTTTTCCTCACATATGCTATAATTTTCTCACATGTACACAGTGGTGTATTTTGGATCTGTGCTGCCCTAGGCATGACAGAACTCGGGCAACCCCTAACTTAAATTTGACCCACGCCTTCCTGTCAAGGCCACGCCTCTTCCTGTTAAAGACTAACACACATTGTGACTAACAGACTCACAGACACTCTCTGATTTGACACAATCTGACAGATATACACAATCACTGACTCACTCACAGACACACACTGACACGTGCACACTCACTGACATACACACAATGACACATACACACACTCACTCACTGACAGATACACACTCACTCACAAACACACTGACAGACATACACATTCACTCAGAAACACATACACAGTCACACACACAATCACTCAGACATGCAGGCTTCCTCACAGACACCCACTGACAGATATACACACTGACAGACACACACAATTACTCAGACACGCAGGCTCCCTCACAGACACACACTGACAGACCTACACAATCACTCAGACACACAGACCCCCTCACAGACACAGACACACTCACAATCACTCACCCACACACACACACACATTCACTGACAGACACACAAACTGACAAATATACACACACAGATTCACTGACAGATATACACACACAAACTTTCCCCCAACACTCAGAGATTGTTATTTTTTTAATTTAAATCCATCCAGCCTCCCTACCTTTTGGAAAGCTGGGTGGATTTTCTACCTGGGGTCCAGTGGGGCTGCTGGCCGGGCTGTTTGGGCAGGCAGGCAGGCGGCTAGTTGATTTCCAGGCAGGCGGCTAGTTGATCTCCAGGCATGCGGCGAGGGAGCACTGATTTGTGAGCTCCCACTGCTCAGCTTCCTCACGCACCGCAGAGTGATGCCGTGAGCTGAAATAAGACGTCACTCTTGCTCCCGGCATCACTCTGTGGCGTGCGGGGGAGCTGAGCAGGGAGAGCTCACAAATCAGCGCTCCCTCGGCACCATCCTAGAGATCAACTAGCCACCTGCCAGGGAAGATGGGGGGGCAAAGGTGGGCAGCCAGCCAGCTCATGGGCCCCTAGGCAGGACAAAACTCAGGCGCCCCCCTCCCCCGCACCACTCCCACCCAACCCTTCCCCTTCCCCCCCGCCCCACCTTCTAAATACACACACACACAGTCAGACACACACAAACACACAGTCAGACACACACACACAGTCAGACACAAACACACACACACAGTCAGACACAAACACACACACAGTCAGACACAAACACACACACACACACAGTCAGACACATACACACAGTCAGACACATACACAGACACAAACACACACACACACAGTCACAAACACACACACACACACACACAGTCAGACACAAACACACACACACACACACACAGTCAGACACAAACACAGACACAAACACACACACATAGTCACAAACACACACACACACACAGTCAGACACAAACACACACAGTCAGACACACACACACACAGTCAGACACATTAACACTTTTTTTTTAAATTTACCCCCCCCCCCAGCCTCCTTACCTTTGGGAATGCTGGGGGGGGGAAGGGGTTCATTATCTCCCTGCTGGTCCAGTGGCTGCCGAGCGGGCAGGCGGCGCTGGCAGGCGGCTGTCGAGGGAGCACTTCCTCTGAGCTGACTGCTCAGGTCCCTCGCGCGCCGCTGAGTGAGGCTGGGAGCCGGGTTGATGACGTCATATTCCGGCTCCCAGCCTCACTCTGCGGCGCGCGAGGGAGCTGAGCAGTCAGCTCAGAGGAAGTGCTCCCTCAACAGCCGCCTGCCAGCGCCGCCCGCCCGCTCGGCATGTCTGTTAAATCAATGGGCCTATAAGGATTATAGCATTTTTATGAGAGGTTATTTAAGAGAATATACAGTGTGTATATGTTTATATATATACACATATATATATATATATATATATATATATACACACACAGGGACGTATTAGCCGCGAGGCAAACAAGGCATTTGCCATGGGCGGCATTTTTCAGGGGACGGCAAAAAACGCCGCCCCCCCCAAATGCCCAGGGCAAATGTCTTGTTCAGACATTTGCCCTGGGCATGTGTATATGTGTGTTTTTCAGGGGGTGGCAAAAAACGCCACCACCCCCCCCAATGCCCAGGGCAAATGTCTTGGTTTTTGCCACCCCCTGAAAAATGCCGCCCATGGCAAATGCCTTGTTTGCCTCGCGGCTAATGCGTCCCTGTGTGTGTATATATATATATATATATTATATATATATATATATATATATATATATATGTAAACATATACACACTGTATATTCTCTTAAATAACCTCTCATAAAAATGCTATAATCCTTATAGGCCCATTGATTTAAAAAAACAAAAAAATTAATTATATCTTTTTTTTTTACTACTCTTCACGTGCTCTTGCCTAAGTATGGAAATTAAGAGGGATGTAAGGGAACAAAACTTGTGTGGGCTAGCTGACAATGAAATTAATTAAGGTAAAGCTGACTTTGCGCACTATGCAAATGCTCTTGCTGGTTCAGTCTCAGTGTGGCATGTTCCCTTTCTGCTACACTCACTACATACATTTTTTCTCTGTCCCAGACGGTATAACAGCGGCTTCTGACTGCTAGTAAGAAGGTTAGGAGAGGAGTGGATCAGCGAGTGCTAGGCAGTGGCTGTCCTTAGAAAGCATAGAGCTAATGCATAATTAGACGCATTCATGCCAAGATCAGGGTCTGCACTACAGTGCCAGGAGCCAACATCACTGCTGTTTTTGCAGGATCCTCCATAGATAGAACCACATCTCTGCAGCTGTAACTGGTGACAGCTGGGGGAATTGACACTTCTTGATGGCGATAGCTCCACCCAGTGTCCAGAAGTGTCAGGGGTAGGAGAAATGCTGAGACAAAGTAGTCCCTACTTTGTCTCAGTATATGTATTGACTGTGTTGGAATTTCAGTAAAATTCCAACACAATAAAACTCAGTATATCAGAAAGATCTTCATGAAATACTCATTTTTTTCAGGGGGGAATGTGGGGGGTTACAGTGCTGCTTTAAATAAGGAAATAATTTCCATTCCAGCTATTTAGTGGTAAATATTTAGTCTAATACAAGATTATAGTTTTTTTTTTCTAGCACATCATTTTGGTGTCTGCTGACAGATTCATTTTAAAAAGACTCCAAATATATTTGTTCCCACTTTAACCCATGCCCGTCATTACCACTGTGATAATAAATAGTATTTTGCTGCAACCTAGAAAGTTCCATTCCACAATGGATCCTTTTTCTTTTCACCAAAATATCACAAAATTACTTGTGTGTTTTAAAGTCAGGCCAGGTTGTAAAATCTCCTTACACGGGAACTGTCACTATTAAATAAAACAATAAAAATCACCTATAATGTGTGTTTACCTATTTTAATTTGATGTTGCATTTTCTTTTAAATACATGTTAAATACTTAGTAACTGACATCGCAATTCTCTTTAGTCAAGGCATATCTAGGGCAGACATTATATTTGAGGAGGAGAAACAGAAACTACTGGAAAGATGTATGTGATAATTGCAGAAAAAAAAATAATACTCTTGGTGTTGGTTAAAAACAAAAAAATAAAAAAAAAATTAAATATTAATAAATGAAATGCAGTACACAAAAAAGTAATCAAAAAGGAAAATAAATTACAGAAAAGGCATAAAAGCAATAAATAGCGGAAATAAAAAGACCATCAGAACTCATAATCCAAGCCAGAAAAAAATAAAAACAAGGTGCTAATAATTTAGTGACACTTTAGTAAATCTCTCCTCATTGTTCTTGTTTCTCCTCTCTTTTTGCTCTATATCCTTGGAGGGGGTGGGGCACTGACCCAGCGCTGAAGGAGATCGGCGCTGGAATTAAGTATGCACTATAAGAAAAGCATTTTGGCTTTCCAATTGTCTTCTACATATTGCCACATTCCCCTTTTTGTCTCAATTCTGGTGCTTGCTTACAAGTCCCTACATAATGCTGCTCCAACCTACCTATCCTCACAAGTATGTCCCATCGAGGCCCCTATGCTCTGCCAAAGACCTACGTATATCCTCTGTCCGCACTCCCACCTCTAACGCTCGCCTCCAAGACTTTTTCAGGGCTGCACCTCTTCTATTCTATTCTCCATAAGAATTTCACCCAGTCTCCACTCATTCAAAAAATCATTGAAAACTCACTTCTTCAAGAAAGCATATCAATTAAACTGTTAGCAGGTTTTTATCCTCCACCCTCCATGACTCCTCTACTGCAACTGTCAAATATTACCGACTAAGCCCTCAGCGTATATTTTTCTAACAATTTACTTCATACCCCTACTTTTACCCTTTGTGTCACTATACCCCACTCCCTCTAGAATGTAAGCTCATTGAGCAGGGCCCTCCACCTCTTGGTTCCTGAACGTCGAGTTGTCTGGTTACAATTAAATGTCTGTTAGTCCACCCTTTGTACAGCGCTACGGAATATCATGGCGCTATATAAATAATAAAATAATAATAATAATTCTCCCCTACAGTAATCATATAACCTACCTCTTTTTTGGGGGGGGGTATGCGAGAAAAGAAATCAATTTACATCATGTGCATAAAGGAACGACATGTAATAATTACAAGTAAGGTAGTCATTGTTTAACATAGAACCGCGTAGACAATAAGCATGGTGTGCCCTGCTGGAAGATGTTAGGGTTGTATGCTCTACATAGGTTAATGCACGGGAGGTTGGGAGAGCGTATATATTATGGCCATTGGTTGCCCATGGCTATGTGCCGGCCTTGTGTGTGGTAATTTGCCGACCATGTGATGAGGAGCTTAAAACTAGAGGGCTGGGACCCAACACGTTCTGGGTAGGTAAGGGGGGGGGGGAGATATGCTTGGACGGTGTCGTTGGCTGTCCGCTTAGGGAGCCAGGTTAGAGGGTACATATACGTATATATACTGAGAACTTTAGAAAGTAAAAAAACAAAAAAACAGGCATATACAATAGGAATATATAACAGGCATATAGAGCCCAAAACTGAGAACTTTGGTGTGAACCATATAATACATTATTAAGTAGTACAGGAATATACAACAGTCCATCTCAGGTTAAGGAGTCTGCCGCCCTTGGCACCGTTCCTCTGGGCGCAAAGGGAGTTATTTCAGCGATGTTCCAGGATGAGCGGGCATCCATTGTTGTCACCAGTGCTGAGAGACCCAACGAATGAAGGAAAGTTGGCATCTTGGATTTGTGAGTCAGGAGGAGCGTCTTGCGGGCGTGTTCTGCCATCAAACGGTGAGGACCCCATTTATAAGGAATAGAGTTCTCTCAAAACTGCTGGGTAACTAGATGAAAGGTCCTGCGCCACGTAAGGGTTTGTCTGGAAAAGTCCCTGTATAATATCAGGCTTGTTCCTTCAAAGGTGATCGTGGGAGAGCCCCTTGCGGCTCCCATAAGGACCACCCGGTCTGAGTCCCAGACAAATTTAATTAGCACATCCGATGGTGCATTCTGGGGAGACGGAAGCAGGAGTCAATTCCTACCTGCTTAGCTTGTTTTGATATCAATAAAGTGGCTATGAGCCTTCTGCAGTAATGCGGTAGTTCCATGTTAGTAACCGTTTTGGGTACCCCCCGAATCCGCACATTCCTTGCCTTGGCTTTGTCTACTATTCGGGCTAGCTGGGCTGTCAGTGTGGCACACTGTTTTTGTAGGGATCCCAAGGCTGCATCTGTGGCTGTTTGCACCACTTTGCTTCTGCAGGATTCCTCCACAGATACCACACGGTCAGTGAGCTTAGTAATTTCTCCTTGGACGAGTGCCATGTCGGCATCAAACATTGCCTTACTATTCTGCATCAGTGCCTTTATGTCGGCTTTTGTGAAAGGGAGCTGCATCTCCTAGCTATTCTGGCTGCTGGGGCATAGTTTGTACTTTGGAGGGTGCAGGCATGGAATCAGGTAAGCTGTCTTCATCTGACAACTGTGAGGTGTGGGCCTCAACCGGCGCCATCTTGGCAAGATCATGCCGCTGGGTTGGGCGCATAAAAGTGCCAATTTCTTATGATCCAGAGCCGGGATCTGTCCTGTGCCCTCAATCTCTCTAAAACTGAGCTCCTTTTCTTTCCTTCTCCTAATACTGATGCTCCTCTTTAGCTCTCCCTATAAGTTAGTGGCACCCACATCAGTCCATCCTTGCAAGTGTGCTGTCTTGGTGTTTACTAGATTCTGGCCTCACCTTGGAGCCTCACATCCGGTCTGTTACCAAATCCTGTAGATTCCATCTTAAAAACATAGCCCGCATCCATCTTTCTTACGCAAGATGCTACTAAGGACCTTGTCCATGCTCTAGTAATTTCTTGCATAGATTATTGTAACTCTCTCCTAATTGCCCTTCCCATCAGCCGTATTGCCCTGCTACAGTCTTTAT